TAGTGGGGCTCACCACCAACATGGTGCTTTGAAACTATATAGCCATACAAACCATAGCTATAGAAGATTATAAATTAGTGGAGGTTTGTTATGATGGGGTCCTTCAACATCTTCTTGGGGATCTCTTCTCTTACTTCCCATGTGCTTTAATCAATTAGATACTTCAATGTCTACATCATCAAATAGCATTACAAGATAGTAAGAACTTCTAAAACTCCTTAGTCACCATTGTCAAGATATATTGATATATTTGACTTGGTCTTTCCCAACAAAATTATATAATTTCCTTTTGCTATGTAGGATTTCGATGTGAAGGTGATGCTCGATCACACCGTGTACCTAGTCGACGTGGTGAAAGAAGCCGAAGGCAGAATCTTGAAATTGGACTCGATTCAAGGCGGCAGGCGGTGGAAGGCAGCAGACGTGTTGATATTCAACACGTGGCACTGGTGGAACCGACGGGGGCCCACCCAACCGTGAGTATTATGATGGAACTTTAATCCTATCGATTTGAGTATTGTCCACACCGAGATTTATTTTGTGTGTAATTTTGTGCAGATGGGATTATATTGAAGTTGGGGGACAGTTACACAAGGACATGGACCGTGTGGCTGCATTTGAGAGGGCACTGCACACATGGGCTGATTGGGTGGATACCAATATTGATCCAACCAAGACTAAGGTTTTCTTTCAAGGAATTTCTCCATCTCACTACAAGTAAGTTCATTTCATTTCATTTTTTTTTTACACAAATTCTTGGGTGAGACAACCTAATAGTGTTAGACAAATCTACCCATCATACCATTTGAACAATTTAAGTTGTGACTTTCTAATGTTTTTACGACATTAAAACAGCGGCAGCGCTTGGGACGAGCCGAGAGCGAAATCCTGTGTCGGTCAAACATTGCCTCTATTAGGGTCAACGTACCCTGGTGGCCTACCTCCGGCTTTGTCGGTCCTTAAGAAAGTGTTGAGCACGATCAAGAAGCCCGTCCGGTTGTTAGACGTGACGAATCTTTCGCTGCTAAGGAAAGACGGGCACCCTTCGATTTACGGGCTGGCTGGGAAAACCGGGATCGATTGCAGCCATTGGTGCCTACCTGGAGTTCCTGATACTTGGAACCACATTCTTTACAATCTTCTTATTCATTGAATAGCTTGTTTTCATTATTTATTTTTGGAAAGGAGAGAATATGATATTATGATATTGGTGGGAATTTTGGGGAGAAATTGGCCGGAAATTATGAAAATGAATATGAAACTATGGTAGTGTTTTTTATTTTTACATTCAGCACTTAACCTGAAAAAAGATCCATTTTTTCTGCATTTCATGTTTTTCCCCTTATCTTTTTCTCATATTTTCTTCCCTTCATGCAATGATCTGGTTCAAAAAAACTAAATCCGAACAAAACAGTATACAACCGAATCGAAACAGAACTACCCTTCTCCCGAACATATAACTAACTAACTAACTAACTACCAGCACAAAAAAAAAAAAGAAAAAAAAAGTAAATCACACCTTCGACGAGCCTGAATCCATGAAATTATTGTACCCACTAAGGTCAAGAAACTCGTCCAACGGCCAAGCCGGATTATTTCCATCCGAAACCGAGCCTCCAGCATAAGTCAACATTGTCGAAGTGAAGTCCCCGACCAAATTATTACCTTGCTCGGCCATATTCCCGATATTTTGCCCGTCTGACTGGACCTGCTGACCGGGCGACTGTGAAGGTGGTGGGGGCATATTAGTAAAAGAACGAGGCTTTCGTCCTGGGGTTTGGCCGGTAGAGAGAGAATGTGTTTTCCCCTTGGACGAGGATGAAACATCTTCTCCGGAGGGAAGGCCAACTCGAACTCCGGTGAGCAAAAACCTCCGGTGAGTGGAAACTGCTGGGTTTACAGTGTGTATGGACAAATCACATTTTCGGCATAGCAAAGCGCGGTCTTGAAGGCAGAAGAAAAAACCCAAGGAATCCTGCAGAAAATTGAGGAATAGATAGCAAAACCGGGTTCAAAGAGTTGAGCTGAAATCAAGGAATACAGAGTCTTGTATGATTAAATAAATAAATAAAAATCAACCTGGCAGATATCACACTTGGGTGCCGGCACAGACGAGTCAGACAAGGGGACCCTTTGGTGCTTAATGGCGAGCTTATTGGCGGCGTGAACCCTCCGATCGCAGGCCAAGCAAAGCGCCGCCTCGTCCGCGCAGCAGAGGACACCGGCCTCGGCCGACTCACACACGTTGCACTGAATCTTCATGGCTTGTGACCCAAGATTTTCAAGAGAAATGCGATAAAAGTTTGGATTTTTTGGACAGAAAAAACTACTAGAAAAGCTCAAGATCAGAAAGAAAGGGAAACCCTTTACCCAGCTTTAGCTTACAAGACATATTATTGAGATCTTTGAAGAAAGTTAAGACAGAAAGAGAGAGTAAATGAGGAAGAAGGCATATTTGGTCGGGGCACCACTAACAGGGGTTTAAGAAGGGTACTGATTCTTGGTGGGCGGCATAAATCTTCTCTCTCTTCTTTTACCAAACCAAAAAAAAAA